CTATATATTTTGCTATTTTTTGCCTTGGTGTCACTCCCCTAAATGGTGTCACCCGGTGCGGTCCGTACCCCCCATCCCCCACCCCCCCACCCCCTTCCCCACCCTCGCTACGCCTCTGATGATAAGAATTATATGTACGTGATGCGGAGAAAATATTTTAGATTGAAGGAGGGTCTGGATTTATGACTATTGCACAGTGGAGGAGGGTGCAAGTTTATAAATGGATAAAGTTATGTAAATTTCTTAGTAATAAAACAGATAGTATTAGTTACTGCAGCTACCATTTGTTTTTGTAAATTCCTTTACGCCTGTGAAATAATAATTCACACAGGTTGTAAATTCTTGCAATGTCACTTAACCTTAGCAACGAAATTTTGAAAGTTTGAAACACAAGTTCCACATATTAGGACATGTAGGTGCCTAATTTAAAAAAAATAAACCAATGTAACACATTTTATCTTCTTCTCCGTTCTTAATTGTAATATTGGAAGTAATTTCTGCCGACACTATAAGGTATTATGTTTCAGCATGTTTTGCGCCATATAAGCCGTTGACTGAATTCAGCCTGCTTTTCTTTCTGGATTTGCTTCCATAGTCTTTGTCCAACTAAGAACAAACTACAAGGCAGCAGTTGTCTGATTTAGGACTTTTGTCTCTAAAATGGGTTGCTGTTCCCAGCTATCGAGCCTACCTACCCGGGTGGTTCGAACTCGATTTAGTAAGCATGAGCTTTATCGACCCGACCACACCGACCCCTACATTTTATCTGAGTAATAGTTGTCTTTGTACAATATGATTTATAGTTAGTAAATATATCTGCTTCGTCAAATTTGGATTTGTTTTAAAATAATATGAACTTTAAAGAACAAAGATATATAGTGAACTATTCGATTTATAGAAAGTGAATATATCTGCTTCGTTAAATTTAAATTTGTTTTTTAAAAAAAATAATATTATTTTTAAGTAACAAAGATATATAGTATGTGCTTATAGGTTGACACTCGATGTATCCTGGCCGGCCAATCCTAGCATTGGCCGACTTCGGGCTTTGACCGTAACATATACACGGTTGGGGTTTCTTGGTGTTCTTGTCTGATTATAGGAATAAAAAGAAAAACAGTTTATATAGGTAGTTTATTGAGGTGTCTCTTTCAGTTCAAGTTTGAATATTTAGAAAGTAAAGAGTAAACAATCAGAAGTAAATTTTTAAAATCTTTTAAAAAACCCTTGTGCATTTAAAATGATAAACAAGTAATTAACAAAACCAATTAAGAAATAAATAACACATGTTAAGGAAAAAGTATTTTTAAAAGTATGTAAAAAAAAACTAAATTGCGAGTTCAATGTCTTGGCGAAACTGAATAGTTAACCTTAAAGAAACGTTTATAATTGTCGTTGTACTCTCTAGACACCATTTTAATCACCACCATCCACCTGCGCCCCCTCCCCCTTCCTCTCCTTAAAAAAAATCAACAAAACAATGTATTTGTAATTTCTATTGTTTCATACGATGTATTTCCGTGAAAAAAAATTACACAAAATTTCCGCACAATTTAAACATGGTGGGCGGATGTTGCAGCGTGTTAAGTTTGTGGACGTATTGATTTTTTTTAAAGTGACTCATACAAGAAATGAAATTATTTATTCTAATCCCTAGATTTTTCCTCTGTTTATCACGTTTTTTTTGTTTATGCGAAGTTAGCGGAATCTCGCTGGGTAAACTTGATACTTCCATGACGTTCGCAGAAAAGCTCGTGTTTGCGATGAATATTTAATGTCCTAAACACGACGCACGGAGAGTCGCTTAAAAGCAAGCAATTAAAACGCATTAGACAGAAAATCTGAAGGCTGGGCAGAAAGCAGGGTGGGGTGGGTGGGTGGGGGGAGGTTCACCTTGACATACGATGGTAGAAATATTTATAGTGATGTGTTCAGGTTGACATAAGATGGTAAAAATGTTAATAAAGAGGTTTTTAACATTATACAGATTGTAGAAATATTTATAATGGTGTGTTAAGCATCACGCAAGAAATATTTATAATCAGTGGCGTAGCGAGGTCGGGTGTCACCCGGTGCGGCACTTAATGGTGTCACCCCCCAGAGGCGTAGCGACCCTACCCGCGGACAAATTTTCGATTTGCAGCCCCCCCCCCCTCAAACTTTCGATTTGCAACCCCCCCCCCCTCAAACTTTTGATTTGCACCCCCCACCCCTCAAGTTTTTCTCTATATATTTTGCTATTTTTTTTTTTTTTTGCCTTGGTGTCACCCCCCTAAATGGTGTCACCCGGTGCGGTCCACACCCCCGCCCCCCCCCCCCCTCGCTACGCCTCTGTTTATAATGATGTGTTCAGCATTATTCATTATGGTAGAAATATTTATAAAGAGGTTTTCATCATGATACAAAATATTAGAGATATGTATAATGATGTGTTTATAAATATTTATACTGATGTATTTAACGTAACATGGGACGGCGCGATTCAACATAACACACATTTGTAGACTCATCTTTAATGATATTCATATTTATTTTCTTAAAACACATTCACACTTTCAACATATAGTTGCCTAAACATATCTAGAACTGTTTACAATAAATTCAATCTTAAAAAACATCTACATTTTCTTTTACAATGAGTACTGCAAAAAATATTTCTTTATATTCGTTACACGCGCGCAGTAATACACAATTACAATTCAGTAAAATTCGCAGAGGTGAACAATTGATTCAAATGTTAAGATTTTATCGTCAAGGTAATGGGGGGGGGGGTATATACAATATTAGCATACGTTAAATACAATAGCCCATTGTACTATAGTGACTGGCATACTTCAGCAGCACCATCATAAACATACATTAAACCCATCATCTACCTGTGTATGTTAGTACAGTAGTAGCCTACATAGCAGTCGCTTAACAAATTGGGGGGGGGGGGTGCAGACCGCACAGGGTGACACTATTTAGAGGGTTAACACCACATTTTTTAAATTGTAAACTATTAGTATCAAAATATGTTTTATCCAGTTGAAAAATAAATTGTAAGGGGTGAGGGGGTGACACTAAAACTGAAAAGACAAAAATTAATGGAAAGGGTGGAGTGACACCTTCACTTATCATACCGGGTGGTACCCGACCTTGTGACGCCACGTCAAAAATTAATGGGTGTTTAATCAGTTAGTTCTTTTACAATGTAATTAATTATGTACCACAATTTAGTATCCTCAGAAAGTTATTGACATAAAATATGTGCACAACAGATTGCAGCAGTTTTAAAAAAAAACTATTTTAATGCCACACATTTTTTTTCTTGATATTTAATAAATAATTTTTTTTTAATCAGGTAGTGTTAATGTGACAAAGTGAGCCTGTATTATGTTTTTTTCCCAGACAGTTTTTGTGTGTTGAGATGGTGTTTTCATGTGGTGGCTTAGACTGTATTACAGTCGCTAATAACAATTTTTTTTTAAACAGTAATGCTGGAAAATAAATTATTGATATTTTTTTTAATAAAGGAAAATAATAATATCCGAAATCAAAGAATATTTTAATTAAAAATTAAATTGTATCGAGTAATATAACTAGATGTGTCTTGATATGTTCTACGGGCTCGTTGAAAACTGTTTCTTCCATACTTTTTTTTCTCGGGGAAGGGGGGGGGGCACTTGAAATTTTCGGGGGGTGGGGGGCGGACTAAAATTTTCGAAGGGTGGGGGGTGGCGGACACTGTTCAAGTATATATTTTCTATTTAAATTCAATTTCTTTCGGGGGGACCCAACCCCTCCCCCCTCCTTCTCTTCCCCACCCCAGAAAAAATGCCTGGAAGAAACACTGGATCAAACTTAAAAGACTGTGTCAAGTTACATTTTTATTTTTAACGAGGCCGTGTTTTAGGGGAGCATCTCTGGCTAAAAAACAAATCATTACACTTATTGAGCTGCCGGCGAGGGCTAAAAATAAAAATCACGTGACTTGTCAGGAAGACTGTAAACATAACAAGATTAGCATGACATCACAATGGATTTCATCGATTCACCGTGAACTAACGCTAACAGCCTAGTGATGGTGTCTAACTGTACAGACCACCTTTCACTACCCACTGATATTATCTTAGGTTTTATTATAGAAATCACTCACTCTGATGTTTACATTTCTACCGAGTAGGCCTAGCATTACTGACAGCTGACGCTAGCTTTACGCTCATGTCTCAATTCATGTATGGCGAATGACAGTGAACGAAATTTAAGGCTGATTTTTTTCAACACTGTATCAACACACACCAATGTCGTAACTTTGATATTTTAACTCCTATGTTCATATTGACTAAATACGATACTCTGATATATGACTTCATATCAACCACTGATTCTAAGTTAATGTTCGTATTCTAGTCTTGTATTACAGTATCTAATAATGGTAAGTTGATATTTCACCTTGGTATTAAATGGCTTTTTATTTTATTGTAAATGGGTTATCCCCTTTGTCTCACAATGAGTACTAACTTTACTGTGTGTCATAGCACTAACTTTAAATGTACCACCTGATATCATCATGGCTGGTGACTATGATTTATGACTCATGTATTACCATTACTCCTATCTTTTAATGTAAATATATCACCATTGTATCACCACTAAGTCACTGTTTTTGTGTCACTATCATGCAAATGTATCACCATTGTATCACCGCTGATATCATGTAAATATTTCAGCATTGTATCACCACTGTTATCATGTAAATGTATCACCAATGTATCACCACTAAGCCACTGTTTTGTGTCACACTCTATCAGGCAAATTATCACCATTGTATCACCACTGATATCATGTCAATGGACCACCATTGTATCACCAATTGTATCACCACTGATATCATGTAAATGTACCACCATTGTATCACCACTGAACCACTGTTTTTGTGGTCACTATCATGTCAATGTACCACCATTGTATCACCATTGTATCACCACTGTTATTTGTGTCACCCCCACCTGTTGCAGGTACCGCCGGATGCACAACGTCACCAATATCTTCCTGCTGAGTCTGGCCACTGCTGATCTTCTTCTGGTCTCCATGTGTGTGCCTGTCAAGGTAAGTCACGTGATAGGTACTAGTGTTGTGTGTGTGGGGGGGGGGGGGTGGCTGGACTTTGGCTAGTTTCACAACCGTTTCCCCCATAACCTACAGCTGGATTTACTCTGACCGGAACTTTGGTCAAGACACCTAACCTTAATTTTGACGTTGATCATTGCAATAAACCTTAACCGAGTATCAGACCTAAGCTCATCGTCGATAGATTCAAATACATTGGTATAACGTCTCATTGGTTTGGTAGTATTTGTTAGGGCTAGTCGTATGGGTGAGTAGGTTCTCTCATGATCGTGTTGGTCAGTTGGTTATAAAATGGTAGTGGTGGTCAGTTGGTTATAAAATGGTAGTGGTGGTCAGTTGTTTATAAAATGGTAGTGTTGGTCAGTTGGTTATAAAATGGTAGTGTTGGTCAGTTGGTTCTTAAATGGTTGTGTTGGTCAGTTGGTTCTTAAATGGTAGTGGTGGTCAGTTGGTTCTTAAATGGTTGTGTTGGTCAGTTGGTTCTTAAATGGTTGTGTTGGTCAGTTGGTTCTCAAATGGTCGTATTGGTCAGTTGGTTCTCAAATGGTCGTATTGGTCAGTTGGTTCTTAAATGGTTGTGTTGGTCAGTTGGTTCTTAAATGGTAGTGTTGTTGAGTTGGTTCTCAAATGGAAGTGGTGGTCAGTTGGTTCTTAAATGGTTGTGTTGGTCAGTTGGTTCTTAAATGGTTGCGTTGGTCAGAAGGTTCTTAAATGGTAGTGTTGGTCAGTTGGTTCTCTGATGGTAGTGTTGGTCAGTTGGTTCTCAAAATGGAAGTGGTGGTCGGTTGGTTCTCAAATGGTAGTGGTCAGTAGTGGGTCATCCATAAATGTCGTCATGCTTTTTTTGACGATTTTTTACCCCCCCCCCCCTTCCGTCACACGTCGTCACAAAAAGCCAGACCCCCCCCCCCCCTAAAATGACGTCACACCTTAGCCTATAACCGACCTCAAAATTGCAGATGAATTTTTTTTTAAAACATCGATATATTTCTGAAATTTTGTCTGAACTCTGTCAAAATAGAGTATTTTAATCAATTCCTATAATAATTTATTAAAATAGTTTTCTAAAACGCGAAATAACGTCTAAAATTCGTTTTCTGACATTGCTTTTTTATAATGCAAAAGTGTGACGTCGCACCATCAGACCGCCCTTCTCCCCCTCATCACACACCCTCACAAAATTACGGACCCCCCTCCCCCCTACGAGTGTGACGTCATTGATAGACGACCCCTAGGCTCCCACCAGGCTAAGCAAATCAAGGCCATATAGTTTGGTCCATTTAGTCATTTAGTTTACACACACACACACACGCATATTCACTCACATCCACACACATATACTATATACATATATATATACATATATATATATATATATATATATATATATATATATATATATATATATATATATATATCATTTGACACACACACACACGCACATGACAATAGTTATAATCCTGCCCATGCCTCCTGTCCATAAACCCGTTTTTTAAAATCCTGTTTTAGAGTTTTACAACAAATATTAAAATTGTATGGTACTTACTTTTACGTTAAATAAAGGTCTAGCAAATTAGAAAGATAATAGTGAATGAGTCTCCACGACGTAATGACATACTCAGACATTGTTTGGTCTAATTTTTGTCTTTTTTTTTCAAGGGACATAACCTGAACTCTACCAAAATAAATTGAGCAATCGATTTTATCATTAACAATATTCAAAGAGAATGCCCATACTCTCTATTACATGACGAAGTTGTACAATTTTCAAACAGACGTCAACAATGTTTTAGAAAAATGTGTTATATTTAATTAACTGTAATGAAGGAATTTAAAGAAGGAATTTTATTTCATTCTTATGGGAGACAACTTGGTTTCTTTCTTATTTTAGATCATGTCAAATGAAAGAATATCTTTCACCCAGCGTCTATTATGTTGTGATATTCTTTATTTTTCGAGCATAACAAAAAATAACAAGAAATGCAAGCAGATTTACTTATTTCGTTTTTTGGCATTTTCTAGACGGATTATAAGACCGACACACTGCCTGCTTTGTAGGCCTACTGTTTCTCGTTTTTTTTTTTGTTTATGTGTGCGCGCTATTTCATAAATCTCAAACAAGGCTACCTAGGCTACTTTAAAGAGTAGTAATTTTCTTCTCTATTAGACTACACTCACACAGTTTAAATTGCGTTTATTTGGTGCGCAATTTTTTTTTAAATCTAATATGTTTGAAAATTTAAGTATTCAACAAATTAATTTTTAATGCCAACTCCCCCCCCCCTACACTGTTGTAAAAAAATATATACAAGAAAGTTTAGGGGAGATCACTCACGCTTTATTTTAACTGTAGGTGTCACACGAACAGCTGATTTATAGTAAATCACAACCTTGCGGGCTCATCATGTTTATCTGACGTCATTAAAATACACCAATTAAAATTTGTCCCCATGGATACTCAAGCGCATGACATTACCTCATACATCTTTTTTATGTCTTCCGCGGGGTAAAAAAATATTTCTAGATCTATATTACAAACATCATCTCAACGTTTATTCATTCTCAAAAAAAAAAAGAAAATAATTTATCTCGTGAAACTAGCAATTAAACTATCTGAGGTTTAGACATTTAAAATTTAAAGAATGACCAAACCTTACTGTAGAGGAAAAATACATTATTTTATTCATTAACATTTTTAAATAAAATATATGTACCCATTATCATAACGAAAATTTGATTGAATTTCTCGTGTCAGCCATAACAAAGAAAACAATCTGGTGAATCTAGCAATATGACGCTAACGGCAATGTCCCCAACCTCCCTGTGTTTAAAATTAGTTTCCCCTAGCTGGAGTTGTGTCCCTGTAAACATTGTTCTCTCGCACGTTCGGTAATGCATAGGTCCCAGCAATCCTTGTCAGACAGGAAACCTTAGTCTTCACCTGCTTGCTGCACGCTAACTCACTGACAGACTTTGCAATGCAAGAACAAAAAAAAAACAAAAACAATCTTCATAAGGTTTCCTTTTGGATTTTTTTTTCTTTGTTATAAAATGAAATTTTGTTTTAATCTAAAACTTGCTTTGGTTTCTAATTTGTTTTGAGGTTCTGGTTTTTTTTTTAAATTTAAATCTCGTTACCAGGTGGCCTGATCAGTGCTGTATCGAACCTGTGGAAAATGGGTTGATTGTTTTATTTCCGTAACGAATGTAAAATTGGGATTTTTATGACGTTCAAAATTTAAGATCATATACGTATGTAGTGGATGGGTCAAGGGGGATGCATGGAAGTGAATGTTGTTTATACTTTGTACCCTGTCCCGTTCGTTCAATCCTCGTGCAGTGTTTCTTCCAGACTTTTTTTTCCGGGGAGCACTTGAAATTTTCGGGGGGGGGGGGGGGGGGGGCGGTAGACTTTCTTCGGGGGGGGGGGGGACACACTGTTAAAAGTATATATTTTCTATATAAAATATATAAATTTGGGGGGGCGGTAGAATTTTTTCGGGGGGGGGGGGGGGGGGAAGAGATGCCTGGAAGAAACTCTGTCCTCGTGTTGTGAGTTGTGACAGTCCGGTTTGTACTTTTTAATGTAAGGTTATATACGGTGTGTGAGAAAAAATTATGATCTCCTCAGTTTAGTCCAGTTCTTGCTTAAGGTTAGTGTAGGTTAGTTCTGTACTGCTAGATAGCCATCTTATTCTTAGCTTGTGTACTAGCGTATATATTTATATATAGAATAGCCTGTAGTTGTAGGTAGTATAGCTAGTAATAAACTCTATTTACTGTTAACAAGCCTTTGTTTCATTTAGTCTTGTTCTGTAAACCGTTTGTGGTTGTTGGTCTTATATGTTATGGGACGCACCGGATCATCCGTAAAGGCGTGTCCGTGTGGTGACAACAAAGGTTAAAACCGTAGCTTAAGACTAGTTTCACTATGCGGGACCCATACATGAATTCAGCCTCCTTATGAAAAAACAATATTTACGCCTCTGTTGACATTATTACTAACAATACGTAACCACAACACAAACCACAACATAAAGTGTAGGTTCCAAAACTGCTTGCACCAGCCATACACAACTAGATTTCTACTTGTGTAACGATAATAGAATACTAGAAACCGGATAGTATTTTTTTCAAAACTCACTTCAAAAACGATTGATGATCTCTTATTAAATCAATAAAATTTAAAAATTAAGTGATAAAAATATAAAATAATTAACAAATATAATAAATTATGTATTAATTCGATAATGAAATACATTGTAAGATTTCTTGTCCTGTTTCACAATGAAATCCAGCATTGTCTAATTGAATAACGGCTCCCGTATTGCATGTTCTTTAGGGTTGATTGCGTAAATCCGGTTAGGCCGAAGAATGTGTTGCAAGCACTTTCCTCACTTACAAGCTATCCAACACATGAGATAAACAAACAAAACAACTCTGCTTCCTGGTTTATATTCTTATACTAAAATATCTTTTTGATCTAATAATTTTTGTAGATTAAACTAATTATTTTAATTTTTTTTCTGTTAGAAATGTTTTTTTTTTTAATGTAAGGTTAAAAAGCGTTGTCAAACAGTGCACGCGATAGAACTAGAAATGTTTGAGTTCTTATTACGATAGGTGTCTGACTCGAGAGAAAGTATAGACGGCAGATCATGTAATAAAAAACCAGTACCTTTACATGAACTCTACTTCATCTATCTGTGCTCCAAATAGAGTTGTCAGTTATTTCCAAGCAGATTTTGATTCACTGTTCCCCACCCTCCTCTCTCACTGTTACGTCATCTCTGTTTCCAATCCATCATTCCTCACTGTACCCCAGATTTCTTCCTCACTGTACCCCAGATTTCTTCTCTTCCTCACTGTACCCCAGATTTCTTTCGTCACTGTACCTCAGATTTCTTCCTCACTGTACCACAGATTTCTTCCTCACTGTACCCCAGATTTCTTCCTTACTGTACCCCAGATTTCCTCTC